ATCTAATAGGATCTTAACATTGAAAATTACGGTATGGCTGCCTATTGGCGTGGGAGCAGTGTCCTGTTTCCTTAATTTCCTCCCTGCAGCCATCAGCTCTACTCACATTCTTATTGATCAGTAAGGAGTTGTTAAGTGAATTGTGATACACCCGTGTGATCAAATGTGTGCAGGCATTAAAAATGATGATTATAACGACTTGGGAAAATGCTTATATGAAGCTAGGTGCAAAAGCTTAATATAAAGTTATCACTATGATTAGTGCTATGACAGGATTTGTGTGTGGGGGAGCAGGAACTGGAAGGAACCCTAAGAAATTGAAGTCATGTGATGATAATTTGAGTTTTAAGTGGCTTGACTTAGTTTACTTTTCTGGATTTAATCTTGTTGGAGCAGTACAATTTTCGAAACGATCTAAAATTCTTACTGAAGTATTTGTGCCCCTCTCTAGACTCATCCGTACAGTTCTATTGAAACATGACAAAGTGCTGTGTTTCTCCCAGAATGTGATCTGAATGGAGCATACCTCCCTGAAGAGAATTCTTCTTTGCTCAACAGTGTGATGGCAAAGCTGTTGTTGCCGAAGTCTAGACTTAGATACACACTAAGTGTTCCAGTTTGGGATTGTGTTCAGACACAAGTAATAGAGAACCTGACCAAACAGTGGCTTGAACTACATAGAGATTTTGTTCTCAGATACCAGAATGTCCAGAATTGGGCAGTCCGGGGCTCATATGGCAGCTCCATGATGCCATGAAGAACCCAGCCTCCTTCTGCCCCGCCATCTTATCGTGTAGCTTTCATTTTATCCGTCCTCACCATTGTCCTGGTTGTAAGATGGCTGGTCGTTACCATCCCATCCATGTTCTAAGTAACAGGAAAGAGAAAGGTGAAGGTCAAAGCAGAGAGCCTGTCAAGTCTGCTCCCTTTTAAAGAACTCCTGTAGAAACCCATTCCAGGAACTTCCATTCACATCCTATTGGACAGAATTGGATCACATAGCCACTCCTACTGGGAAAGTATAGGGGTTTTGGTGTATTTATTTTAAGCTGAGGATATTTCTACCCAGACCAAAATCAAGGGTTCAGTAATGAAGAAGAGGGGAATGAGTATTGGGTAGGCAACTATCAATGATTTCTAGTTGTTGAGGATGGATTGCCTTCTAGATATAACTGCCTTCACTGTGTGTGTGTGTGTGTGTGTGTGTGTGTGTGGTCTCTTCTATACTATTGCTATGACTTCATCTCAGTATAGGAAGGATTCTGTTACGTTATGTCATGAGGGGTTTTCAGATGCAATCAAATTAACTGAGTTTCTTGATCTGTTGATGATAGAAAAAGGAGACAGGAATGAGGCAGTCTTACAATGTTTTTTTGTTTTGTTTTGTTTTTTAATAAGCTTTCCCCCCCTTAAACACTTTGTTGGTTCTTGCTGTTTGGTGATTGTACTTATAGGTTTTTTTTCTTTTGCAAGAAGCATTCTTGTTTTAATAAGGAGGTATTTTGAGCTTTAATAATGGTGTTTATTTAGTCATAATATTCTCATTACATGGTGGTTCCTGATAGTAAACAATAAAGGTTGATTGAAGCCCACCAGGTATATCAGTAACTCGCTGTTTATTACAGCAGCTTTGGTCATCTGCAGCAGAGCATCCCCCAGGTTGAGGGAGGTGGCACTCCTCCATGGATACCAGATGTCATCTGGAGTACAAGTGCTGTGTGAACAGCAGATCGTAAGGAGGTATCGAGAAACTGATGTGATCAAGAAACTATGCAATAGAGACCCAAAGAATGAGTCAGGAATATGCATATTCAGCCTGAAGAAAGGAATACATTGTAGGAGTTGATGACAGCTACCTTCCATCTTAGAAAGAACAGTGGACTTGACTTTGGGATCCCAGGAGCTGACCCAGATCCAATGACTGTTATGGGTATTATAAGAAGGCAGAGTGTAGCATAAACCCCAAGAGGAACTTCCAAAGAGTAGACATTTCTAACAATAGAAGGAGAGACTCCAGTTCAGGGATCCCCGAGAAGTATAGCTCGTCCTATTAGTCCTGCTCTACTCAGAAGGAGTAGTAGTGGCTCCTGTACATGATGCTCAAAGGACGCTGGGGTTTCTTTCTTCAGTGCCCTTGTCCCGTGCCACCTGCCCAGTTCTTAGTCTTCCTTTAAGGATCACATTTGGCATCTGGCCACCCTCTCTACCCCACAGACGCCTTTGCACCCTCCCCCAGCTCTGTCACCCGTGCTCTGTCCTCCCTGTGCATACCTCTCTGAAGACACCTGTAACACAGCACTGTGTGTCTCCATCTCGGCCCATACACCGCAGCCCCTTGAGGGCAAAGCCCCCGTCTTGCATCTCCGCATCCCCAGTGCTTACCCACAATGTGGCATGTAGCTGGCTCTCAAATAATTACTTAGTGAGCAAGTGAACGAATAGAGATTAGTGAGATTCTGTGTGAGTTAGCCTAGATGTTATATGGAATTCCTGTTTTAACTTGGGCCAGCTGTGGCCTCAGCATAATGGCTGGTTATTAAGAATAAAGAGTAATGCAGTTCGTGGTGCAAGTGCTGTCTTGTTTAGATGTCTGGCTCCCATGCTTGTGACAAGGTTGAAAATGACCCACCGAGCCGTTTCCACGAGGCACTTCATGCATCCTGACGTGCGGGTGAAATTCCCGCTCGGCGTCTTTGTTGGAGGTCATGATGTGAGCTGTGGAACAGCCAGGCTGCTGACGGTGAATGTGAGTACAATAGGCAGTGGGTGCCCTTTTGTTTATTGAAATAGAACAAACAGAAGAACAAGGCAAGTTTTAAAAATAACTTGGTACACATGTAGGTGAAATAACCTTACCTCCCAGGAGCTGAGAAAAAAACAGGTCCCAATTCTGGCTGTTGTTCCAGTATATTTTTAGTAAGAGGGCCCTTTCTTTGATGATGGATGAAGGGAAAATCATGGTAGGAAAAAAATATTAGGGAGAAGGCTACGCGAATTGTTCAGTGTTTCGTTTTATGTTCATCTCATCTGTGAGAGAAAAGCAAGCATAAGTGCAGGCTGACCATGAGCACAGCGGAGAGGGAGAATGTTGTTTCTTCCTCTCATATTTGTGTGTAACATGTGATTCAGTTATCATGCACACACTGCTGTCAGTTATTTTCAGTACATGGCTTGGGAACTGTTTGAAGGGTCTTCTAAGAAACTCCTGTCTCACAATATATTTCCAATTTTAATTTTACTCAGGAAAAAGTACCATTTGGGGAGTTTCCTGTAAGTTTTTAGTTTTTAAACGAATGCAGTTTATTTACTATAGCGTTTGAACTCGTAACATTTCTCAGTTATTGCCACCAAAGAGGTTTGGTCTGTTTCTACTAGAATCTTCTAAGGGAAATTGATGAACCTGGTAACCTAATTTTAGACCTCCTGAAATTTGGCAGATGGATGGTATTTATAGCGTCCTGAATCAATTCCTATTAGATGTTTAAAAATAGTCACAATGTTAGAGAATACATTCAAGAAAGAAAAAGATTTCAGCCTCAAATCCCATGCCCAGAACATTGTTTTTAGTCTCCTAAACTGGGTATGCATTTTGGTAACAATTTCTAAAGAGCCTTTCTGTCCCTCTTCCTTCTCTTTCCTGTACGATGCTGCTGTTGTCATGGAAACAGGTCTTGGAGTCGCTTTGTTACACAGTGTAAGGGACTCTCTGATATGGAGAGTTACTGCAGGTCATTAGCATCAACACAGAGCCTTTATTAAGTGTGCTGTGATGCATATTGTACAAAACATGGAACTCTGTGTTTTTGGAGCTTATACTAAAGACATAACTTTGACATCCATAAACACAAAACAGACATCAGGGTCCTGAGCCATAGGAACCTTGAAAAGCAGTGGGCATTTGCTATTTCTGTTACCAGTGGTGAGTTACATCCTTGGTTAGAGGCAGGTCATTAGTATGTACCAGTTAGGGTCGGCTTATTGAGAAAGGAGGATTTGGGGAGCTTGTTGAGTGAAACAGGAAAGGAGCACGCTAGCAGTTAAAGGGGATGGTTGGAAATTCCCAAATTTCCAGTAGAAATTTTCAACAAACCGCTTAGAGGAAGAAATTGGCCCCAGAGATGAAAAACGGCTGTGCAGAATTGTCTGAATGCTCTGACGCCTCCAAGTTTGAATGTTCCATTAGCAAGCTGTAAAACAGCCCAATCAGATAGTAATGCTGGTATTTTACCATGTATGTGATTTCACTGACCAGGGTCTAAGATGGGGTGAAGCAACTGGATGATGTGGTAGGCTCTCCCTGCCCTGGGATTGTCACTTGTCTTCTCACTTTACCAGCAAACACTACCAGAGATGCCAAAAAATGTATACAAGTGGACACTTTGGTCGGCGTTGCTCAAGCAGTAGTTCGCCATCATCAGAAGTGTCTGGGACGCTGATGGGACCCACTCTGAGCACCTCTTGTAATGGCAGAAGTCAAATGTGACTTGTATTCATTTTTTGTTTTCGGTATATATTGAATATTACAATTTTGATACAGTTTTCCTTTCTTAGAATGTGTATTCATATTTTTTGCACCCTCTGTATAATCTCTCAGGCTGTCCATTTCCTCACCTTTCAACTGGGAAACCTCCCCAGCAGTGGTGCTGAGGGTTTAATGAGAGAGGTGATGGTAAATAAAGGACCTTGTAATGCCTACTGCTTGGTAAGTGCTAAGTCCCTCAACTTCACACCAATCAGTACTCCCTAGGGAAGTGGTTCTCAGAGTGGGGTCCCCCACCTGGAACTTCAGTAGCACCTGAGAACTTGTTAGAAAAGCAAGTACTCAGGTGTCGCAGAAGTGCCGAATTGGCAGCTCTAAGGGCGGGGCCTTGGGATCTTTGTTTAGAGCTCTCCGGTGAGGCCCTGTCTGAGAACCATTACCTGAGGACGTTTCTGGGGATGGTCTTACCTTGGACATGACTGAGTGCAGTTCCTGTTGCCATGTAAGATTCCTGGTCACTCACAGAACTCATCCACGCCACTGTTCAAAGAAGGGTGTTGAATAAGGTGGCTTTTAAATTTCTGAGCTGTTGGAAGAACAGAATAACTTTGAATGAAAAAGTCTCTATATATTTACCGAGCCGTCAAAAAGAACGTCTGATTCAGCTATTCAAAGTTAATACAATTAGCAACCATTTTCCCTTTAAATTTCAGGTTTATTAATAACAAATTTATAGTCTTTGCTTGGGCTAAAGAAACAATTGACCACACTCTTCTCTAACTCTAGGATCCTGCCTTATTATTCCTAAGTGACAATTGATTGTGCTGGGCTTCTAAAACCCAAAAGATTTGCCCCTAGACTTAACAGGAAAAGTAGAATGCTTCCACCAATACCACTTGCAGCTGCTATTTTAGACCCAATGAAATACTCCTGGGTCTGTCATTCCTGATTTTATTGCTTTTAAAAATCCTGCTATAGAATATTTTTTTAAAGAAACACTGCAGTGATTTAAAAGTGATTTGAAACCAGGGCATCACTGGTATGTTGGGAGGCAAGGGGCCTTAACTTATGAGATGCTTCAGATATGGTGTGACATATGGCATTCTCAGGACTCGGGGAACCTGCCCACTCGACACAAACCAAACTATAGCTTCAGCTAATTTTGATTTGGAAATTGCCCCCTAAAAAGGAAAGTACTAAAAATGTTTGACATTTATAGGATTTCTGCCACAGTCTGCAGTTTCTCTAACAAGTGTATTCACTGACTTTGAACGGATTTGGTAATCGCTAACTCATGTTTTTATGTAGTGTAGGAGTACAAATACAGCCCTAATGTTATATTAGAGTGATGGGTATAGAGAGCATAATGACTATCGAGGTCAGAATTCATTTTTATCGTTTTTAAACATGTCTTCAGCATCCAGATGTAAACTCATCTATAAGGATAATGGTAATGTGTGACCCCAGAGAATTTTTTTTTCTAATTCTCAATTGCCTTTCACACTTACTGTACTTAGGAAGTATTGTCTTTAGGATCCCAGAAGAGTGGTATAAATGACAAAATGAGGTTCAACTTTTTTCTAAGGAAAATTGAAGCGTGATTTTTTTTTCTTTTTTGGCTAATTAGGACAACTAAAAGTAAACATCCAATTAATTATGCAGCGATGAATCTCATCTGCCTCAGTCTGTATTTTTTAAGGAGTCCAAAGTTAGAATAATGTATGTTTGAAGGAGGGCCAGTGTACAACAAACTTCAATTTCTCGTCGAGGATGAAATCTCCTTGATTTCACGGATTTATACCATGTGTGTAAGGAAGGAAAATAGGGTCCGGAACTGTTTGATCCCCTTACTCTGAAACAGCGAGACCTGGCTTCTCCTTTTAGATAGATCTTCAAGATGCTGATTGTTTTCTGAAATAACAAAAGACTCAAGTGAAGAAAGAATTGAGGAACTAACGTAAATTTAGCTCTGAAAGAACCCATCGTTCAAACCATGATGACCTCCTTAGCTTCTACTCAGTCTCTCATTGCCCTCCTACCGCATTTCAGCTCCCATTCTGTGTGACAGGGGCAGGGGTCTTTCTCATGGTCTGGACCACAGATCCCCCCAGATGTCCAGCATGGAGCCGCCCGGGTTTTGAGATGAGCAGCGTGCCTGTGAGGTTGTGCCAGACCTTGGGAAGAGCTGATGGATGTCCTGAGACTGCGTGTGACCCGAGGCAAAGCCAGTGGGGCAGGATGGAACACCTGCTCTTTATAAAGTGATCCCCACCTTTTTTTTGGGGGGGGGGTCCTGTAATTTATGTGTTTATTTCCTTTTAGTATTTTGTATGGCTGTATGAGTCTGTGTCAGCTTGCTAGGCAGAAAGGAGTTCCTGAATATTAGCAAGGCCCAAAGGAGAGAACGGCATGGGGACAGAACCCCTAATCAAGGAGAAACGCAGGGATTGATTGTAAAGCTCACTGTTGCATTCTCTTGGAGAACCTCAGCCCTGTGCTAGGTATTGTATTCTTGTATTATAAATGGGCCAAGTTATCTCCTTATAGGCAGTTCTTGGTGAACTCAATGTAGTCCTTTGTAGAGGAAGGAGAGACCACCTGCTCAAAGCAGTCTTCTTAAAAGGATATGTTGGGGGCGTTTTATGATGCCTGGTGTTGGGACATAGCAATGAAAACTATAACGTCTATTCTGAACTTAGGGAAAATGGTATGAGACTGTGTAGCTGGGACTGTCATTGGATGATATGTGGAATGTGTGGATGACTCATTAAAAAGAAAAAAAAAGAAAAGAAAGGCCCCAAAGAAGAGGGCCTAGAGCAGCGATTCTCAACCTTTCAGAGGGTCGCCTAAGACTATCGGAAAACAACATATTTTCGATGGTCTTAGGAACCAAGACACCGCTCCTCTATCCGTCTCCAGGCCCACATGCAGATACGCCCACATACGAGTACCCGGCAACCCATGTGAAAGGGTCGTTCAACCCCCAAAGGGGTCGCGACCCACAGGTTGAGAACTGCTGGCCTAGAGCATTATCATCTATCATGAGACCCGCATGAACCTGTGGGGCCTTGAACGCTGCTCCCTCCTGGGCTGTGCTGTCAGCGCTTCCTTGATAGGCCCTTGGTACTGCATCCTGTGAATTCTGTTGCTGCTGCTGGAATAGCTCTCTAGTGCCCTCTGGATCGATCCTACCAGTGTCTAGAAAAGGCCGTGGAGAGTGGCCGTGGGAGGGGTTGAGTACGGGAGTAAGATAAGGCTCTCTGCAGTCACCTGAGGAGAGGGGTCAGGGTCTGGGCACACCATCATTCCGGCTTTAGAAAAACAAGCAGGATCAATCAATCCGTGTAGGGCAGTAACCCCCAAACCTGGTGTACAGCTGACTTACCTCGGACATTTTCCAAAATGTGTTTCCTGGGCCTACTCCAAAGCCAGGCAGGTCTTAGTTGGGAAGGACCAGGACTTAGAAACCATAAGCTTTAGAGTCAAATAGTCCGAGGGTTGACTCTCAGCTCCAAACACCCTTAATCATTGTGTGACCTTGAGCAGGTCGGTTAAAGAACCTCTACAAACCACAGTTTCTTTATCTGTGGGCCTAGGACAAATAATCATGCTTATTTATAGAGTGTTGGGATGAATTAAATGAAATAATGCTTGTAAAATGCTTAGCTCACTTCCTGTCACACAGTAATCACTCAATAAATATTAGCTATTATTATGCTTAACCCAAATGTGTGTGTCGGATGGCTGCTCAGTAACTATGGGAATGTGCAAAAGGATTAGAAAAATCATGCTCCCTACCCTGACAAATACACAATCTAAATGGCTGAGAAGCAAGCGCACATGAATATTCCGTGAGCTGTGGGAGAAGGGGGAACACTGTGATGAAGTTCAGATTTGCTGGAAGATGCTAGAAAGATATGGACTGTGCCTGAGGGAGGTCCAGGGTGGTGCCGTTGGAACTGCAGAAGACAGTGACTCGAGAGCTTCTTTCAGAGGCAGCATGAGAGGGGCTTGCAGTGAAGCGAATTGCCTTCTGATGATGTCAACATATCTAATACAAGGCTCTGACTAATTGCTATTTATAGTTGCTTATATTTCAAAAGCTTGTTTATACTGCTGAAAATTAGCAGGGTGTAGTGGAAAGAGCTCAGAGCTCAGCCTCAACTCCCAAATTCTTGTTCCACCTCTGCCATGACTAAGTGACCTTCAACAAACCACTTCATTCCGAGGCCCCAGCTTCCTCATTGTGGAAACAAGGGGACCAGACGACTGCCAGGGGTCTTCTGGCTCCAGCATGAACCATCCAACCCTCAACAAACCTTCACTGCACTCCCTTTCCAAAGCGTTTATTGTGCATCCTTAATTTTCAATTCCTGACCTTAGGTAAGATCCATTGTTCCATGGAAGACTGTGTTTTGCTAATTTCTTGTTCACAATTCAGATTCCTGTAAAGGCCACAAAGTCAGAAATTTCCACTTATATGTAAAAGCACTTTTGTTCAGTTGAAATTCTATAGAAAGTCTACTTCGTTATGCTTTTGTTTTATTTCTAGTCTCAAGAGGCTGTTATTGTCTTTCTGGAAGATTAATTTGGGGACATCTTAGCACATCGATTCCTTACTCTAATTCTAGGTCCTGGTTGTACCCGATTTATACACAGTTGGCTTCAGATGACCCATACTTACAAGTTGGTATTATCTTGAATGTTGGATGTAGTCCTTCTCTTCTCCCACTGCAGAACTACTCAGGAATTTTCAATTCAGGGCACCTAGGAGGCATTCACTCTTACATACAGTTCAAGGCCTTCGTTGCTTGTCTGCTCTGGGGGATGCACTCTTCTGCACTGGGGATCCATCAGCTGAACGAAACACACAAAAATGTCTGTGTTTGTGGGGTGTATGTTCCAGTGCCATTAGCCTGGAAATGTACCTACCCTATTGCCACATGGGAGGAGTGACTTGTGACAGGTGTCTGGGTCATCTTCCTTTATCCAGCGTCACTTTCCCTGAATCTCCCATGTCATTATGTAGGGAGACTCAGTCATGAAAACCACAATGCCCTTTTATATAGAAACAATAAAATATGTGACTGTTAGGTACGTGTGCTTCAGTGCAAAAAATGGCCACAGATCCTCCCCTGCAAGTTGCATGCTCCCTTATAACATGACTTCGCCACAGCTCTGTTCAAGAGGTGGAGACCATTTCTCCACTCCAGTGAGTCTAGACTGGCTGTGTGACCTCCTGTGACCTGTAGTAGAATGCAGCACGAATGACATTGTGGGAGCTCGGAGCCCAGGCATGGCGAGGTTTTGCAGCTCCCTCTCTTGCTCACTCTCTTGGAATTTCTGCTGCCTCAGGAAGAAGCCTCCTTGAGGGTGAGAGGCCCCCATGGAGCAGAAATAAGCCTTCTGGCTGAGGACCCCTCGACCAAGCCAGCACCATCCTCCAGGCCTGTGAATGAGGCCGTCATAGACCACCCAGCCCAGGCACCTGACAGTTGGATGCAGCTGCATGAGCTTGCACCAGCTTAACATCTCCAGATGCTCACCATCTGCATCAGTGCAAATTGCTTTTATTAGTAATAATTGGAAGTAAGGATTTTATTCATATAGCTATTAATGTATTTCCCATTTGTTATGAATTAAGTAGACTTTGGAAGGTGGGCTTTGGAAATGCCTTTCACGTTTTAAATCACCCACTTAGAGACAAGCTTTTGGAATAGAACCACCTAAATTTTGTTGACTAGCTGTATGGGTTTTGTGGAGAGAGATTAGCACTAGCATGTGTGATATATTTCAGTCATTGAATGGTGAAAGATTCCAAGAGTGCCTGTTCCCCATGGATGTGGATATCTGGGGTGTCCCTGGAAAGGCCTGGGTCTAAGATGACCCTGACCAGAATTTGGACAAGTATGTTTTCATTGGACTGAGACTTATCTCCTTACTAGAAGTGCTGATGAAAGTCATGACTCAGTAATATCAGTTCAAAGTGTCAAATGGACATCTGTCTCCATAAATTAAACAAACATGGCAGGTCCACTCCACACTCTTTTCCCCCTCTTTTCCAAAAGTTGTGGGGTTTTTTATTGTTTTTTTTAATTCAGAGAGAAGTCTGGGAATATTATCTGTATATAATTGCTTTATAAACACCGTTTTATTTAATGCCCTTGCTAATAATACTTCCTGTAAATAAACAATATCAGCATTGTTCCAGGTTGTTTTTATAATAATACATGTTTTATGAAGTGATCTAAAAATAACATACTGCTGTGATTGAAAAATTTTGGAAATTGTATATCTTAACTATAATGCTATATAGATATCTGTTCCAATCAGTGGATAAAAGCAACTACACACCACTACAAGGAATATTGAGACAATTTGTTAGTAATAAAGTTAGAAATAGTAAAGCAAGTTTTAAAGTAAATATATAGCTGACATGTATATAATCTCTAGCAAGTAGTTTCATAGAAGGAGGTAAGGTTTTCTATTGAGGATGATTTCTGTGGGGATGATCGGGTGGGTTTGAAATGAAGAGGTAGCTCGCTTCATGATGGATACACGACTCCTATCAACTTGCTGTTATCACTTAATAACCAACCACCCCGGAAGCTGGTGGCTTTCAAACAATGGTGGTGTTATCTTGCCCATAATCTACAGGCCATACTATAAGGTTTAGCTGATTTCACCTGAGCTCAGCTGGGCACCTGGGTTTCCCATTATGAGGTGACTGCCCCACGTGTGTCTCATCCTCCTCTGACCGGGAGGCCAGGCTGGGCGTGTTCTTCCCAGAGCTGGCAGAAGCCCAGGAAGACAAGCGGACACGCCAAGCCTGCTTTGTCCTAGGCTTGGAATGGGAGTGCTGGCATTTCTGCCTCCTGTTGGCCTTAGCAAGTCACATGGCTTAGCGCACAATCAATGGGCAGGGAAATATACTTGACCTTTATCGGAGGGATTCCTGAGTCCCATGAAAAAGGGCATGGGAACAGGGAGGGGTGAAAAGTTGGGGCCAATAATGACATATACCACCTTCTCTGTGTGACTCTTAAGAAGAGCCCAGACTTGCTAAACATGTGGGGAAAGGTAAATTGGATTAGCCATGGTGAGGAAACAGTTTGGGGACACTTTGGTCTTTGTAGACCATAAAGACACTCGTCTTCCTATACTAGGGGCTGCACACTTCAGCTGGTTGGGCCACATGCTGTTCAAGACTTGTTTTTCTAAACAGTGTTTCATTGGGACATAGCCATGCCCGTTCGTTAAGGTATGTATTGCATATGGCTGCCCTGGCAACAGAGTTGAGCACGAATGCTTGTGACAGAGACTCAGTGGCCCACAGAGCTGAAAATATTTACTGCCTGGCCCTTTACAGAAAAAGTTTGCAACCCCTGTTTCATATTCTGCAGCTGAATAGTTTATGGGAAGCAAATTCAGTTGTCATCTGCACCTCTCTGCCCTCCCCCGAGTCCCAGTTCCTTTTAAGAGGGTTTTGCTAGTGTGGGTGGCCTTCTCATTCTTGTGTGTTTTTATAACACTGATAAAACAGGGAGCTCAAGTCCTCCTGGCACCTGGGTTTGGCAGCTCTGCAGCCAATACACTTTGCCTCCGCAAGCTATAATCCTTAAACCAAAGTTTACGAGCCGACAAATTGCAGACTATAGAGCACACACAAAGGAAGGAGCCAGTTGCTGCTTTTGCCTTGACTGTTAATGCTTTGTGGCTCTGTAGGTCATTCATGATGTCAGACAATAGGGTGATTGTTTCTGTTCTGCTGAAGGACAGTCGGATTGTGTTTTGTGTGGCATGGAGTGCAGACCCGCTCACCTTTTCTCCCCCAAATGGAGTCTTCTCAAACCTCCTGTCAGCTTGGTGGGTGGTGGGAGGCCACACCCCTTGGGCCAGCCTTTGGCCATGCTGCTTTTTATTTTCCTTTTTTTTTTATTAATAAAATTACTTTTTGGTAATATATTACAAAGAAAACTTTAAAAAGCTGTATGTTATACCTACCACCTCCTTAGCATGTATTTATAATGGTTTTCTCAACTAGTTGGGGATTTAGATGGTTTAAAAACAATCTTGATGACCGTATAGAAATATGGAAAATGCTTGTAATATGGTGTTCCATGAAAGAAAGATAATACAGGATTGCTGTAGGTACACTGTTGCAACCATGTGATAAATATGTACGTAGATGCAGAAGTGTCCCGCAAAAGATACCCACGTTCTAACACCCAAAGCCTGCAGCTGTTCCCTTTCATGGCAGAAAGTACTTTGCAGATGTGAGGGAGTGAAGGATCTTAAGATGGAGAGATGATCTTGGGTTATCTTGGCAGGCCCTGAGTAATCACAAGGGTCCTTATGAGAGTGAAGCAAGAGGGCAGAAGTCTGAAAAGGATAAGGCAGCAGAGGTTGGAGGGTTGTTCTTTGAAGATGGACGAAGGGGCCATGAGCCAAGGAGTCTAGTGGCCTCTAGAGACAGGAAAAGGCAGGGGAACAGGCCTGCGGAAGGCACACAGCCCTTACACAATTCCTGCTGGAACTCGCACCTCTGCAACTGTAAGGTAATAACTTGGTGGTGTTCTCAGCGAGTCTGTGGTATTTTGTTACAGCAGCAATAGAAAACCAATACAGCACATATTACTGGAGAGGAAGGTGTTTCAAAAGGATAGTTGGAAGTTATTTTATATAGTTTAGTTGGTGTATTTTGATTGGGTGGTTGGTAAGTTTATTTTGCTTGGGTGCTTAAGACTAAGAGGCAGCAAGTGCCCTTTAAATGTTGGAGGACAGGGGGCAATGGTAGAATTTGAAGTTCCAAATCAAGCAAATCAAATGATATATGAACCTAGCAATGTTGTTCCCTAGTTTGGGTTTTGCTGTGTCAGGGTAGCAAATGGCTCCAGCCTTAACAGAGAAGCCAGTTGTTTTTTTTAAGCTTCTCTCTGGTTTTCGATAGACTTCCTTGGAGCTGAAATGTCATCTTTGATGACTATTGGTATCCTTGTAATTAAGGTCTTTTCAAAAGTTTGAGTGCGAGCATTAAGCTCAAAACACATTGACAAACTTGCATCAAACTCTGAAAGGTGACAGTAGCGTTGTGTAACACAGACATTGTTATAAACCGATTTTCTCTCCACCCTTGTTTTGTCCCACTATTTCCAAGTTATAAGAAGCTGTTGTGGGTAAGGCTAGCTGCTCACTTCCCCCGCAGCTGACCTTGTGGGTTTTTGAGTTCAGTAAGTCATTTCCTAGTCCCGCCTCTGCCATCCAGAGCGGGAGCTGCAGAACCTGCTTCTTCATCAGTAAAAGGAGCTCAGCCAGCGTCTAATGAGCCCTTTCTTGTCGGGGGAGTGGCCCACGAGAATTCCAGAATCTCATAGTCAGTGTTTGCATTTTTCTACACAGGTAAAACGAGAGTGGGAAAATTTTCTCTTGTCCCAAGGCTCGTTTTGCATATTTTGAGCAACTAGATGAATGAAGATCATTAGGAACATGTCCTTATGTGTGTTCTCGAGGTCTGTGGCTCCATTTCGTGTCTGTTAATGTGAAATCCCTGAATACTGTGGTCCGTGGCTTAGCTGGGTCAGTCAGAATCAAACTTTCTTCTTAAGCCTCAAAATCAGCTGCTGATAACCCTGCTTGATGGATGCTGCAAGAGCAAATCAAACAGACTTTATTTCAGCTGACTCACCCCAGGTCCTTTCTTTTGCTCCTTCTCTCTCCTCCCAAATCTGCAACATGCAAGAAGGAAAACTGAGTCGGGGGACATAGAACTCCTGTCCCTGGGAAGCAGTAGGGGCCGTGCTCTTGGCTTTGGTTTGGCAATATAATGCACCCTTACAGGTTCTTGGAAAGTAAACGGTGTTAATTTGGCTCCTGCCCCAAGTTCACTTCCCTTGGATCCCCTGCTGCATAATGTATCATATTTTGGCTACAATCAGTTTATTCCAACCCTTACTGTCCTGAGGTTCAGCAAATACTTTGAACTCTCAAAGGAAAGGTTGTGAGCCGAATCCATTTATTCCGACTGAGACCATCTTTTGATTTGAGAGCCGGGACGCGAGATAAACACACGAATATAGTTTAATTAGGCCAAAGGCTGTGATACAGTCTTACTGACATGTGCAAATGTGGGTGGCGGAATGAACTTGGCCATTCAGCGTGCTGTCACCAAGGTTCCCAAACACAGGGAAACCGAAACACACTTGGGGCAGAAGGAAAGCTTCGTCAGCTAGAGCGTTTTCAGCTGTGGAGATGACTGGATATAAAAAGCAGAAGAGGACCTTCGCAGTTTGTTGCCTCTTTCTCAGCCTCAGCTTGTTCTCAGTTTCCACGAGGGACAAAATGGATAATTATCTTCCTGGCATCTTTTGTCCTCTATTCCAAAGAAGCGAGGGAGGTGTCAGCTCCCAGGCCTTCTGCATTTTGTTTGTTTGTTAGAGGGCTGGATTGCATGCAGCTCAAGCACAGGGGCTCCCTCACCTACTTGTAGGCCCCCCTTGGCCAGGCAGGGGAGTCCAGGAATTCCTTTTTCAAGTTTCTGTGGCCGTCCCCATGCAGCCACACTGCTTGCATTGCTAGTATTCCTTCTCTGCCTTTCAAAGCTGGTAATATTAGAGATCTAGAAAAATCCTCCCTGTGCTCCCACCTTCCCCTGGCAGCGGGGTGGCAGCCAAGCCCCTCACCTCTCTGTCCATCTGTCTGCCTGTCTGTCTCTCCCCTGGGCCCTCCCATGTCGTCCTGACAAACACTTCTAGTCGCTTGATTACCTAGATTTTTGTGGACAGTGAGGAGCTTTTCAGTAACATGTGTTGCCCCGGCGGGCCTCTCTGTTCACTCAGCATACACTAGAGTGCAGGGCTCCAAGAAAGCCTGCGATTAAATGGGCCGGGGGACCCTCACCACACGGAAGCCTGCCTGCTGATTGGTGCGGTGGGAGACCAGCTGAGAGGCAGGGCCATCTACACTGACATCCATGGCACCTGGCAGCCAGCCCCCCTCAGGACTGTGTAGACCTGTGCTGCTCAGCCCTGACTGCACCTGAGACGCAGCTTTTAGAAGGGGGGCCGGGGCCTGGGAGGTCTCCAGATCGATGAAATGTACATCTCCAGGTGGCAGCCATGGCCTCAGTGTTTTATCAGAGCTCCCCAGGTGATGCTGCTGGGAAGCTGGAGCTGAGAAGCCCTGCTTCAGACGCAACTGTCTTCACTCTAGACCAGGTTGGGGAGTGTTGCCTCCTCCTGTGGCTGATGTCAGGCAGAAATGACCACTGGGTTGTTGGTGCCCTGAGGCTGTCCTGTCATTACAGTGTGACTGTTTCAGGTGAAGTGATCAGGCCCACATTTCCGCAGGTCACCTTAACAGTAGTCCCCTGTCCTTGCCATCTCCCCTGAGGGCCTAGCCCCTGCACATCAGGAGCAGCCACAACAAGGTTCAGGTTCACACTTCTCTCCCCACCACCCCCTTTCATGCCACCCCTATGACGGTCCCAACCTTTAGGACAGCAAATAGAACCCACGGAGACCACCCATCACGAATGTCCCTGCTCACCCGCCGGACCCACAGACAGTGTGCTTTCTTCTTAAAATGGCCTTCCCCATGCTTACCCTTCCCAGACCTCACACTCTGCAGCCTGCATTTCCAGCGGTGGAGTTGGATTTCCCCTGAGAGGAGTTGCTTTCTGACTCCTGCCTGTACCAAGGAGCTAGGCAACCCCCCTGCGCCCTCAGACATCTTCCGAGACGCCCGCCCCTCCCGGGACTTGCTTCTGCATAATTTAGCTCCTTTGTCACTGGAGCACGGTGTTCCACTGCTGAGCAGATCAGGGTGAACTTCCAAGGAGGAAAACCGCAAATGGCTTTGCCTTTGGGGCTGGGTTCCCCTGCCCCCGATTCCCCGC